TAAAATTTTGTATAAAGTTATACATGATTATATATAAGTAACATATATTAACATGTAGGGGCAAATTTTATACATAATTGTATGTAATAACGTAAAATTATATATAATTTTATATAATTTTATATAATTATGTATTAAAATTTTTCATTGGGGGAATACATGCATTAATCCACATAACTGATAAAATTAATAACATCGATATAACGCCTCCTGCGAATGACCTCGCATAATGTCGATCGGCCCTCGTTCCTAACATGGTGATTATTTTTAGACAGAGACTTTCCCATGCCATGGTTTGCTTTCATAATTACGAAATCTTCTGAAGAAATAAACATATCGCCGCCGTTTTGACCGCGGGTGCGAGATTCCTTCGACGATGCGAAAGCGTCTATGATTTCGGAAAGAATGACGAACGACCGTGCGAATATAAAATCGAAGTGAATGCTCTTGGTGTAAAAGGGCCGGATGAAAGCCACACTTCTTAGAAGACCTCTTAAGAAAAACTTTTAAGCTCTACTCGAAATTTGACTCGACTTTTTAACATTTACTCGTCTATTTAAAGATAACCGCAATCGTCCAGAAATATTTATCCTCGTGGATAAAATCTCGAATATTCACGTGAATAGCAAGATTCAAACTCAGCGATTTTAATGCATTTAGGTGATTTCAGAGATAGTGATCTGTTTTAATGGTTCCACTCTGCAGTATTCGCAAAACTTCTTTTTATTCTTTTAATTCAGATAATAGTTACGTTTACACAGTAGTACAAAAGTCGACTCCATGGTACAAGTTTTGCCTTTTCGTGATCATCTTTTTTTATATGTTAATGCATCATATATTTTACGTATGAAAAACGCACGAGAAAAAGCCATTTAACCTTCTTAAATTATCTTAAACCATCTAAAAGCCATCTTAAGCCATATATTTTTAAATTTAAAACGAATGATCCAATATCTAGATATAAAAATATTACATAACATAGATATAATGCAAAAACGTTTTATATTTATGTTGCCGTGTTATATCGTTATAACCAGTAAATAGCAGAGCAATATGTAACAGTTTTAAAACAATTTGAATTAAATACTGAAATATCACTGTAATCTGTAACATCATCGTTCGACCGTGCATTTCACGTGCCTAATGTTATAATTTTGAAACTCTCAAAGATTCATTTATTAGTTTTTCGTGCTAACCATGTAAACATAGACTACAGCACGGATATCACTACTTCAGTTTATGTTGTCCTCGTTAACGTAGTCGATGATAAAACTAATCGATCACGTCGTAATAGCAAGAAATATAACATAAAAAATATATTACAGGTTTAACCTGTACCTGAAGTTGTTCATCGTAATGGGCATAAATTGGTCCATGGAGATAATATCGTGGGCGTTCAAGAGCGCACCGGCAGCCGTCTGGTACATCACCGATCTGACGAACGCTCTGCAGGGTCTCATCATCTTCATCATATTCGTGTGGAAGGACAAGATCAGGAAGCTACTACTAAAAAGATTTGGCTGCCGGGAAGACATATTCTCCAGAAACTCAACGCGCAGTGGATGCCACAGCACAAGTGCCTCGCGCACCATCACAACGGGAGTGTCACTTCAGGAGAAGATCAATCCCTACGTACAGAATTCGAACTGCCGCGCGAAGAATTCGTCCGACGAGAATTCGACCGACTGCCCTAATGTATAATGCGAGGAGAGAATTCCTTTCATGCAGAATCATCGCAGTCGGTAGCCTATAATAAACTTAATGGTGTCGTAATGCAATTTTACAGTCAAAGCTAAATTTTGTATTATTGCGCGTTGATCTCTTTTTTTTCACTTTATACAGGGCATCTGGCGCCACAACACAATAGCACAACGCTTATACATTAAACTGTACAGGAAAATTTTCTATCACAAGATAGAGTTTTACAGATTTCACAATAGTTAGTAAAGAATTGATTATAAAATATCAACGAAAGTATGTGATTGCACGGAGAGTGCTAAGGCGATCTTTGTAAGTAAAGTCTCATCCAAAATATTTAGAATCTCTTCACAATGATTAGATGTTCACGTGTAAATTATGACCCAATAAGCAAATTGATTTGAACAAAGTATATAAATTACAATATTTTATATAATCTATATTGTTTACATGACAAACGGCCGTGTCATATACATCTCGTAGAAAATATAAACAATTCATGTAGATGTAATTTTGAAATTTACAGCATAACCCTGATTTTGACAATGTCCTGATACACTCTGTCTGTACAAAAGCATTGTGTCATCGTCAGATAATCTGTATATAATATTTGAGACATAAAATCAATGCTACTCTGCCTTTCAGGTAGCACACACGCTTGTTTCTCTCTATACTTTTTAATTTTTTATGTTTATATATATATTCTTTTAATGTTTTAAGTATTTACGATTTAAAAATATTATAAATATTTTTTATTTTTATAACATTATTAGCAATACGGCTGATGTTATAATTTTTTAGTATTTGTAGCGTTCTTGTAAAAGTTCCCTGAAATTTGTATGAAATTGTCATATAAATTACTTTATACTTTAGATAAACGTGAACTATATAAATATACATATATTATTGTTGTATTAAAGATATTGACGGAAGAGTTCGTGCACCTGTCTTATAATGTGAATGTGATCACTTATAGAAGATTATCATACACCATTACATAATCATTATTTCATTTTAATTTTTATTCTTATGTTCATTCCTAAAAGATTTTAATATCACTATATGTTACAGTGGATTTATATTTACCTCCGGTAAATTAATAAAAGTATGTTGTGTGTAAGTTATATGTATCAAATGTATGCCATAATTTTGTACAAATTTTACTTTAATATAACTTACCATATAATCACATAACTTAAACCTACAATACTTTATAACAGTTTTACTTAAGATGACCAGATTTCCCAGTCCCAAGTTCAGAACACTTCCTAAATGTATGGAGTGAAGGAAAGGAAAGATTATTGAAAGTATACATACATATATATAAAATATTTTATTTATAGACATATGTAAAAAATAACTTAATAACAATGAATGCCTGCTATTCTAGTAAATATAGAAACTATTGCTGACATAAAACTTTTAGTTTTATTTAAAATAAAGAAAAGCAAAGCTACACTGTCTTTAGCTATAAAGCCGGGAAAAAAGTAGAAAATTATAATATTGATATAATATTACTGTTACTTGATTGTAAGATATGACCTTTGGTCTGTTCTTTTCAGCTACATTGCTGAACTAGTGTAATAAGTTAAAATGAGACAAATATGTTGTTCTCACTCTAACTTATTGCACTAATTTAGCAGTGCAGCTAAAAGAATAAATCAAAGATTTATTCTCCAAATATATCAATTCTCTCGTGCGCGTCCAAATGTATTTAAATATCCTCATTCCACGTCACGTGATCTCTTTAGTTCGATTGGTGAGACCCATGATAGAGGCGCTGAAAATCGTCTCTCTTCGTTTCAAGACGAGAGTTAGGCCGCCTGCACATTTGAACTGTCAGGTAGCTTACTATGGGATTGGAACAATCAACTTTAAACTAAACATTTAATACGCGTACTAAATAGAAACTTTCTGTTAAATAATCTTAAGGCTCCTGGGTCCTCGCTATGGTTGTCCTTATTTGATGACGTTAGAAACGAGAAATTGCATGTCAATTTATATTACAGTATACATAGAAATTAAAGAATACATACACTAAATGACTGTTATGATCGATTCAACGCACTTATAAAAATATCCGGACATTTTCCTTTAACCTAAACAATAAGCAGCCGTAAAATTAACGCAATAGAAATCAGGGGAAATCAGATGGGTTAAAAACGCAAGTTGCATGCTACACTAATTTTTAATATATAAATTTTTAACATATAAATTTAATATATAATTTTTAATATATAAATTTAATATATAAATTTATTTTAATAAATTTATTATTAAAATTCTAAATTAAAAAATTTTTTTAAATAAATTTTAAATAAATTTATTATATATACATATATAGATTACTGAGGTTAAAGTGTCTGAATATTTTTGCAAATGTGCTGAATTGATCAAGATTGTCATTTTATGCATGTATTTTTCAATTTCCATAACTTGACAATATAAATTGAAATACTATTTCTCGTTTTTGACATAATTAAATAACAGCCAAAGTGAGGATACAGAATCCTTAATATCGACAATGTATGTATTATACATACATATATTACATATTACATACATTATTACATATATTACATAAATACATATATTATAGCATAATACTCATCAAGAAAATGTATCAATTGCATCGTTGTTGACATTGTCAATATTAAAATTATTTAAAATTAAGTTATATCGAGGCGACGAGTTTAGTCGTGCCGGAGTCACGTGTAAATTTAAGTTTGCCGTTTGCATATTGTTTTAACGTAACATTAAATGGAAGGAGGTACTTCAACTGGGAAATATCTCAAAAGTTTAACACGCGCGGCATTCGCCGTCACGCTCGCATGATAGAAATGCTTTCACTACACAGGGAATCTCAGTAATTTAAAATAAATAGTTTGATACGCGTGCAAGTTACCATTTAGTAAAGTAATTATTTAGTATGTGTATCACATGTTTACTGTGAATTAGTATTCCTGACAAATAGGACAGAACATAAGACTGCCGCAAGGGCAATCGATATCCAGTAATTCGAGCTTCCTTTTTAAATTTGCAAACCATTTTAACTGCAGCACTTGCCACTTTTGTGCTGAAATAAAGTTATTGCAAAAAGACTATATATTGCAATAATTGCTTTCTATAGATGTTACTTTTTTCCAGAAGTTCGTATTCTAATATAAACTCTGGTTGTTCAGACATCTTAGACATTGGTGGTTTAACTATAATTTCTACCGGAAAGCTGCTTGTACAGCAGCCTGTGCCTGTACTTGGGCAGCTAGTTGGGCATGCTGGTCCATTACTGTGGCTCACTTTAGTCTCAGTAAATGTGGTGGAGTAGACATTTTCACAGATATCCCTCAACTGAAAAAAAAATATAAAACTTCTAATTAATTTTCTCTGATGTTAATTGTGCAAATACTTTTTCTGTGTATAATTTATAATTTGATCAAGTATTTTTCTTTCTTCCTTTCCATTTTTTAACTCTTAACTCTTTGAATACAAAGCAGTGCAACAAGAAAATATTCTGATACAAAACTCAATTACATTGGCTGTATTCAGAAAACACAGTGATTATTGGTTTTTACCATCAGATCTCTAATTTTAGACCAATTATGTTGAAAAATTATTCAACCATTATATAACTGTTGTTTTTTTTAATATAGCCATTATCAAGTGTCGTAGACATTCCATCTGTGATCAGCGACGTTAGATAGAACAGAAATAAATTGATATTCTGAGCTTAAAGTAATAAAGCTTATAATTGAAACTGTTGCTAACAAGCTGAAAGGATGACGTGTAAACGGTAGCCCATGAAAATGCCGATAAAACCAACTCCAAACGTATACATGTGTCTATAAGCCATTGCAAACATTTCACGCTGAACGTTCACAGGCTGCAGAGAATATTTTATATGTGCTCACAGCATTTAAAAAATTAAACATGTAACGCGTCAATTTTCAATGTTAGTAATTATCCAATTTAGCGGCCTTCAATTTCGATGAAAGTAGATTCAATCAACGCGTTTTTGCATGCCAAACAACTTTTTCCTCTGACGAAATCGTCGCTCTCTACTGCGAAGCGATATTGTTAAAAATGCTAGTATGATAGGTATGATAGGTTAAGAAACCCGTCATTGCAACGTAAGTCTGTTAGTTAGAGTTACACTTACTGTATTAGTGTAACGCAGTGTGCAGCAACTTCATGAAAATACTTAAATTAAGAATATTTTTAATATATTTGACATTTGTAACACGGGAAAGATATCAAACTACGAGCGCGGCTGCGACCCCGCAATCCCCTAGAAACTAACCTAACCCAACCTATAGTCACATTGGTCATCGGTTATTGGCTGCGTTTAGCAGAGAAAGCTGCTTTGCAACTGCTGTAAAATTCGTGAATCTGATTGGAGTATGCTCTTAATTTTGGGTAATTCCAAGAGCATATACCAATCAGATTCACGAATTTTACAACAGTTGCAAAACAGCTTTCTCTGCCGAACGCAGCCATTGTTTATTAAAAAATGTCCAACCATTTTTCTCAACTTTTTAATAAACTCTCTCTCAATATTGGTTCCAGGTAATCCTAAGATTTTTCTCCAACACCATTCTGGGTGCTTTCCAATTGCAATATCCCTAGACACTTTCATGCACACAGCAACACAAGTTGCATTCCAATTATCGAAATCGTCAACATTCGTATGTACTTGACCAGAAAAAAACTCCGGTTGGAAAAATATTCTTTTAAATCGTTTGTATTTCGTATGAAGAGTTTTGAAGTGCAATTGAAAAGATTTGCGAGTCATTCTATTACTTATAATTAATTGTTCTTTTTTGGACCATGTAAGTAGTAGTAGTTTAGGCGGAAATAATAACCGGAGGTAAATTAAAAAAAGGTTCGATATGGTATCGTTTGTATTTTGTATGAAGAGTTATGAAGTATCATTAAAAAAATTTGTGAGTCATCCAGATAATTTTAATTAAATATTAAAAAATCATATATTTGACCGATCTATCGATCTCAAGCGTTGCTGTGGAAGTACCGTCAAGTATGATCGGTGTACTATCTAGTATTTCAATATTCCTGGTTCTTTTTCGGGTGATTATGAACAATAAAGTCTTTTTAGAATTTTGATATCTTTTTGCAGCTCTTTTGGTAAAAATATTTATTTTGACTCCGATATTGATAATCAATCGGGGAGACCGAAAAATATGCAAGTTATATATTGTTTTAACTTTTTTTTTATTTTTTTTTCACTTGTCGAACGTTGCTGCTTTCCCACAATTTAAACAAGTTACTGATCTTTTAATCACATTATGTAACTGCAATATCGAACGACTAGTGGGGGGTTGCGCCCCTCATAATCCTCCCGCAAAACTAACCTAATGGCTTCTGCACACAGGACGCGGTAATGCTTGCCGCGCGGCGGAAGTTTGCGCGACAGCCAATCAATATGTTGTTTTTCCATAAAAGCTAGTTATTACGGAAAGCAGCATATTGATTGGCTGTCGTGCGAACTCCGCCGCGCGGCAAGCATTACCGCGTCCTGTGTGCAGGAGCCATAACCCAACCTATCATCACATTAGTCGTTAGTCATTGTTTATTAAAAAATTATTAAGAAAAAAGTTGAACACTTTAATAAACAATGACTGACGGTTAATGTGACGATAGGTTGGGTTAGATTAATTTTGAGGGGGCTGCGCCCCCCGCTAGTCGTTCGATATTGCAGTTATATAATGTGACTAAAAGATCAGTAACTTGTTTAAATTGTGGGAAAGCAGCAACGTTTGACAAGTGAAAAAAAAATAAAAAAAAGAAAATAATATATAACTTGCATATTTTTCGGACTCTCCCGATTGATCATTAATGTTGGAGTCAAAATAAATATTTTT